TATATAATATACCAAGCCAAATCAACCCAATATATCAAATCTGAGGGGTCAGGAATTGTTTAATTGACAGTTGGGAATAGCTTCAATTGTTTGGTATATTTGTTAGTAGGTTTGATAGATTGGCTTTGGCGGCAGCGCTGTGACGAGTTTTTGTAAGGGGACTGACTTGACTCCTGTATATAAAATCGAGCTTTGCATGCCCAACGGATGTGGGATTTCTGCGCGCATTGACACAGTCATATTGCAGTAAATTGACGTCTCTGAAGCTACCGACTTCCTCTCGGTCATCAGAAAGACGGTAAATCAACCCGAACTACCGCTCATAAGGCTTTCTTAGTCTGTGCCTAGACTTGGCAATCGTACTTCGCATGAACGAGTTCCGTGGCCGAAAAGACCCCTTAGCACACTGACCGGTTCTGATGCCACAGAGCTAAGTCTTAAAACTCACGCTTAGATGCAAAATATGCCATTTTACCCGATGTAGGGCTGTCGCCGACTTTTCCAGGCCTAAGGCGATTGGCTCTTTCGGAACTGTTTCACTCGAAGTCTCCAACGCGGGCCAACGTTGCCCGTGCGGGATATCCGACGACCACCCCTCACCACGAAGAGGAGTTCTCGTTCGCCTTGGCGTCAGCCCAAAGCCAAGGTAAGTGGAGGCCGTTGTCCCACTTATGGTTGACATAGAGCGAGTTTGAGAGCGAGTGTTGTCCACGTTGAGTGACACAAAGGTTACACCGGTGTAACCAGCGGATGAGGGCAATCGGAATCTCGCGTTGCTTGTCAGCGTGCCATTCATTCAGGAAAGTCTCTCGTGCATGGCCTCCCATCATCTGAGTGTCTTACCTGACTTTCTCAATGTAGATCAATCAGCAGCTGGTGATGCACAGCTTTTGCCCTACATGTGTCTAGTCAGCCGTGCGCAAACTTGAGGTGTAATCTACGTCAAGCTATCGCGGCTCGGGAAACGCTCAAGCACGTGTATCCCGAGGCGTCCGGACGAAAGGTGGCGGAATCGGCGAACTCGTCGGCTGCAATGGGGAAGCCTCTTCGCAAAGGGTAACTGGTTTCCTTTTCGGCTTGCGACGTGGGGATACCTTGGGGTTCGCACCCCAGGCGTTCCGGCCACATCAAAGTTGAGACGGACGGCCTTGGCTGTGCGTTGGTACTGCGAATGGCGAAACCGTCCTCCTCCAACCCCGGCGGGATACGACCCTTGCTCACCAACCACAGTCTTAATGCGACTTAATCTTGGTATAACATTAGAGTGTGCTTCCCCCCGTACCCCGCAATCTAGCACGAACGTGCCATCCTGGGCTACTATGTCCCAGATCATTGGACGAGGGCAGCACATGAACTGGGCTGTCTCCATGTCCAATGCGAGAGACATCTGCGGAACAAAGTTTGACGGGTCTTCTGTCGTCTGTGCCAGCTTGAGTAGTTGGCTCCCGCTCATTAGTGGCCGTTCTTGATAAAACTAATGGCCGGCCGCCACCTTCCCCTCTTTGGCCAAGACTTTCCAGCGCAACGTCGCATCATTTGAGCAGTTTATGATGAGTCGAACCATCTACGATAGCAGCTCAAATACCCCGTTAGCACCTCCAGTCGTCTTTGTTTGAAGTTTCGTCGCACTTCGTTCCGACACCTGGTCACGATGGTACTGTCTACGATTGATGAGATTGCTATAGAGCCGGACAAGAAGGGTAAGTGGCGGGGACCTAGGGAGTGTAGTCATAACATCAACGGCGTACTCCCAGTCGACTACTCCGATAGAACTACAATTGATATCAAGTCGGAGTCCGTCGGATACGAAGAGGCTCCGTCAATACTAGAATGGAGCGAGGCGGAGGAGAAGGCAATCAGGCGGAAGATAGACTGGCACACTGTCCCGTTGACGACAGTACTCTACCTTCTTTGCGTATGTGCTTCTTGCGGCGAAGAGCTTTTTTTTCTCCGCTTTCGAAAGGCTAATACGCGCAGTTTCTCGATCGTTCGAACATCGGAAACGCGAGGATTCAGGGCATGGCCAAGGACATCAACCTCGAGGGATTCCGATTCAACTGGGTTTTGTCGATATTCTACATTGTCTACCTCTTTGTTGAGGTTCCGAGCAATATCGTACTTAAGCGGGTAGGACCGCGATTCTACCTGCCATTTCTTGTTGTCGGATTTGGCGTTGTCTCATTATGCACAGCCTTTGTCAAAACCTACGAAGGATTAGCAGCAGCACGGGCGTTCTTGGGAGTCTTTGAGGGAGGCGCCATGCCAGGATTCTCATTTTTCCTGAGCAGCTTCTATCGAAGAGAGGAGTTGTTGCTTCGGATCGGAATTTTGATCTCATCAGCATCTCTCTCGGGCGCATTTGGTGGTCTTCTCGCAACAGGCCTATCTCGAGTGCCGGAGTGGGGGTTTGACAGCATGCCGATACACACCTGGCGCAACATCTTCTTCTTCGAGGGCTTCGTGACGATTTTGATCGGGCTATTTGCGCCGTTGTGGATGCCGACAAATCCAGCCACTGCCTATTTTCTCACCGATCGAGAACGAGCCATCGCCGTCGAGCGTCTTCAGCGAGAGCACAAGTCTGATGCCAACGAGCCAGTCAGCCTCGACCATGTCAAGAGGGCTGTCTTCTGTATTCACAACTACACGTGCGCTTTCGGCTTCTTCCTCATCAACATCACTGTGCAGGGAATCTCGGTCTTCATGCCGACGATATTGAACGACCTGGGCTGGACAGCGACAAAGGCGCAGCTGATGTCTGTACCGCCATACGTCGTCGCCTGCGCGTCAGCGGTTCAGCGCTGCCGCCAAAGCAAATAAACAAATCAACGCCAAGATTTGACTAATTTGACTGCCTTTTCCCCAAGATTGGTTGATTTGCCCTATTGGCCAATATATCAAACAAATCTATATAACACGTGACCCAACGACGCATATACTAGTTACCTAATTAGGAAATAAGTGAAGCTGTTCACAACTATTCATGATGCAATATGTGAGCCAATCTCAACCCCCATGGGCATGGCTTTCCTTTTCAGCCTATTTTTTGTCAACTGCAGCTGACCCATAGTCTGAGGCTTCATTGAGTGCCTTTGCGACGTCATGGTCAGCTTCGCAGTACTATATGCCCTCTCACAGTCAGCAGCCATGGCTGGTATTGCCAACACATCAAGAGCTAGTCTACTGAGTAGAGGATACGTTGACTGGTGGTCTCTCCACCACTTAACAGGATCTTGCGTAGATGTAGGAGGCTGCCTGAGGTACGTCTCCAGCTCATCCTGCTGTCGAGAAGTCTCACAACTTCGTCTACTCTGCACCCATTGCCTGAAGTGGCTGTCTTCATGGGATGGAAGTGTGATCTCAAGAACAGCCGTAGAGTTATCAGACTCTTCCTCAGACCTATACCAATGGTCAAAGTAGTCTCTGAGCCCCTTCTTTGCATCGCGAACCCACTCAAGCTGAACCCCTTCATCCCAGACTGCCTCAAGGTATGAGATACCAAGTGAAGGGTGGAGAATAACAGAAGCAGCCAACAAGGGAGATTCCTCCAACTTTGTATAGTAGCAGGAGAGCTTCTGCCAAGCCAACTCAACAGAAGTACGGAGGTGTTCCTGGTACGAGGAACAGAGACCCCTGAACCGAGCAGTACGTTGACTCCAGTCCTCTCTTACATGTTGTGGAAGTAGAGATTCCTGAAGAGGCTGGGTCTGACCGTTGACTGACGATCGAATGGGACGCCCTTATATAGGGCCAGGGAGAGGGGGGTGGCTGACGTACGGTTGAAGTCATCATAGCAAAGGTAGGCAAGCCCAGGGTGTTGGCGATGTTGCTGATGTTTGCTGCTTGTGAGGCATGAGGAAGAAGAAGAAGAGACGTAGCAAGAGGGCGATTCCAGTGCTTTTATACCCATATCCAACGTCGATGGGAGATCATAGATCACTCAGGAGTATTGCCTAAAGAGGAAATACAGCCACGAGGGCAGAAAAAAACGTCGCAAAGCTGTCAGGATTAATGGTGCTGCATACAGAAAAAGAAAGCTGACCGCGATGGGCGTGAATATTCGCGATAATGGCATCCCATTCCCTATATGCAAGCTTATGTAATACGCCAAGCCAAATCAACCCAATAAATCAAATCCGGGGGGTCAGAAATTGTTTGATTGATAGTTGGGAATAGCCTCAGTTGTTTGATTTGTTTGGAAGTTTGATTGATAGATTGGCTTTAGCGGCAGCGCTGCAGCGGTTACAGTGGCGTACATCAGTGACAAAACGCGGCAGCGCGGCATATATCTTGCGCTATTTTCGCTCATAGCCGTAATTGGGTTTGCAATCTTGCGGTTCGAAACAGACGCAAACATTCGATACATGGCTGTGTTCTTTGTCACCGCAGGCGCGTTCCCTGGCGGGCCGGGATTTTTGAGCTGGGCTATGAATAGTGAGTATTAACTACCTAGTAAGCTCGCGATTGATGCACTTCTGGCTAATCACTATTTCAATAGATTCTGCGGGACCATCAGTCCGAGCGGTTACGAGTGCCTATGTCGTCACAATCGGCACAATTGGAGGCATTGTTGCGACGTAAGTGGTTAATGATCTAATACTAGAGGAATGTCATGGCAAGTACTGATATGACCCAGTTGGACGTACACATTCAAAGATGCACCCAAGTACTTTGTTGGACACACCATCAACTTGGTAGGACAGAGTTTGGCAGTCCTACTTGCCGTGTTCGGCATCCTGTATTGCCTTTACGAGAACAGAATAAGAGCTGCTGGTAAGAGGGACCACAGACTGGACGGTCGAAGTGAAAAGCAGCAGGTCCAGTTGGGGTATCGACATCCTTCATTCCGCTACATGCCATGATAGGAATGTAGTAGACTCAGTTTAGGAAGGCCGAATGCCAGAGATGATATGATGTGCGACATACTTAGTAGTATGAATGTGAAACTGTTCAACCACGTGAACTTCTTAGCCGCCAGACTACTGCAAGAAGTTTCCACGGTATTGGTTCTCGTCCAATTCTTTTGGGGTATTTCTATTAACGCTGTCAGCCCCGATGCAGCAGGTGACCCCGCACACTCAACACGCCACGCGAATACTGTCTCGTCAGCAATGTCTTGCCATCACTCCTACACATCGCATGAGCAGGAGCAACAGCCAAAATGCGGCTTCTCAACACGAGAACGAAAGAGCTCCAAAGTTTCAATCATCATCGGATACCCTATGCAATTTTATCACATACCTGGGGTGCCGAGGAAGTTTCATACCAAGACCTGATTTCCGGCAAAGGTTCCCAGCTTTTCGGGTATGAAAAACTTGCAGGAGCTTGTAAAAAAGCCCTCGCTGATGGGTTTCATTATATCGTGAGGATCTCTTGTCATTTCTTTCAATTTTCGACTTTTCTTAGCGAGCTGACTTATATCTTGTCCCAGTGGATCGACACTTGCTGCATTGATAAAACGAGTTCTTCCGAACTTACTGAAGCTATCAATTCCATGTGGGCTTGGTACCGACATGCGCAAATCTGCTACGCTTACCTGTCAGACGTCAGGTCTGACTCTGCCCATTTGGGACAAGGGTACAAAGAGTTTACCCAGAGCCGGTGGTTCACTCGCGGTTGGACTCTGCAGGAACTCATTGCCCCATCAAATGTGATCTTTTGTAACACAAAATGGGTCGAAATCGGTAATAGAGAAAGCATGCGGGATATCGTAGGCAAGATCACCGGAATCGACAGGCATTTCTTCAATCACGGTGTTCTCGGCAGATACAGCATCGCGCAAAAGATGTCATGGGCTGCGAACAGGGTCACAACTCGTATTGAGGACCAGGCCTACTGCCTATTGGGTCTTTTTGGCGTCAACATGCCACTGATGTATGGGGAAGGGGAGATGGCCTTTGTCCACCTCCAGGAAGAAATCATGAGACGGACAAGTGATCAGTCGATCTTTGCATGGTTCGACCGGGCGGCAGGACGGCAAACTGGATTTTTGGCAACCTCGCCATCATGCTTTGCCAACTCAGGAAGTGTCACGACGTATCAGCCGGATGAACCTCAGCCCCCGTATTCTATCACCAACCAAGGTATCTCCATAAGCTTGCAGCTACTTGCGTCAGGGTCATCCGGTTTTCCCCTGCCGTTCCTGCCTTCCGAAGAAGGCGAAATACTATCCGCAGCAGGAGTTCGGTTTTCTTTCTCCCCAGCAGGCACAATTGCTGTCCTCAACTGCAAAAACGCCCAAGGGTCGAGATTGGGCATTTACATGGAGAAAGAAGACGGCAAGGGCATATTCTACCGTTCCCATCATCAGATAGGGTTTGTCTCGATTCCGGATACAGTTGTGGCCAGATCAACATTTGAGAGCGTCCTTGTTGGTTCCAGCAACCCAGATTATGCCGACTCACTTTGGATCAAGTCACAACCATCCCATCATGTAACACTCAACTGGCATAAACCACATGCAGACGATGAAAAGCTTGTTAAAACACCGTACTCGGTCGTGAAAGCGTTTCCTGCCGACGCATGGGTAGAGCACGATTGCGGACATTCCGTCGTTCTCCCCACCGAGTTTGGTCGGAGGGCTTACCTTCTGTTCGATAATCGAAATCAAACATCCAAGAAACATTTCTGTGTTGTCTTCATGGTAGACTACAGGGACACAGTCAGGACTTACATAGATAATGATCCGACAGACGACTTGCATCCGACACCCCCAGATTCCTTTCTCTTCAACGATGAAAGCATGCTATCGAAAGAGCTGGCCTGGGAATCTGAGGTTTATGAAAATATTGAGGTTCGACTTTCAACAAGATGGGGGCGCTTCGGAAAGATCTTTGACCTATCTTTCCAGGACAAAGCCACGGTCGACGGCTTGTGTTCCAACGAACTTTAAGTTTGTTTTCGGGCTATTTGCTCGTAGATGTACGAGATGCACAATTTCAGCCCGAAGGAGGGAATGCTTTGAGGCTAGATATTTTTACTTGTGGCGAGGAGAAGTTCTGAGATAGGTACTTGGCGCAGATCGAACATGAATAGGTTTAGGTCGAATAGCTGACAGATCAAATCGACTAGACTTTGCCTTACAAGAAAGATTCATAAAATGGCAAGAGCATCCGAACAGCCCGCGATCATCAAGCAGGGGGGGTAGTGATCAGCGAGGCGTTCTTAGGACCTTTTCCAGGAACCGTGATGTCATGCTCCCCGGAATTATAGTTGTAGCTGGGTCGAGCTACTTGAGCATTGGCCAATCAAAACATGGTTTCGCACCGTAAGTCTAGCATAATTGTTAGCAGGTACTTCATCACTCAAAGAAGACCAGTTGATAACGCATCATAGACTGATCAGTAGCGCCATTCAGTCAGTTTGATGCCAAATCATCGAGGTGTCTCGGTTCGTGATAAAACCCAAGACGCCAGGCGCGGGAGAGGCGCAAATCCATGCAGCTGTCCTGGAATGCAATTGAGCTTGTTTGAACCATTCCGGCAGGCACTGGAACACCCACGCGACAGGCTTTGAGCAAGAAAGCCAATCCCTCTCTTGGCGCCCAACAATGGCAGGGTCTCCCGAAGATCAACAACGCTCGCCGTCGAGCCAAACGGAAGTCGACCACGCAAAAGCAGACGAAAACACCCGCACTGTTGAAAATGGTTTCGCGAAACTTCACGAGAAGCCCCATCATGCGGTCGGATTCTGGGACCCTTCGATGAGGAAAGTTCGCGCCCATGTCATTCGACTCTGGCTTCAAACGATTGCGATCCTGTTCGCGTTTATCCTCGCGGTCCTCTCGCTTTACTGGGCGGTTCTCTTCCGCACTGAAGCGAACTTGCGGTCAGTCGTCGTGCATGTCGTCAACTTTGACGGCCAGGTCGCGCCATACGAGTCTATCCAACCGATCGTCGGTCCGACTGTCATCCAGACGATTCAGAAGACATTGGACAGCCCGGGGCCTTCACTTGGATGGACCATTCTACAACCATCAGACTTCAATAACGACCCTACGGCCGTGCGGATGGCTGTATATGACTTCAAAAGCTGGGCGGCCGTGATCGTCCACGCGAATGCGACTGCAGCCCTACAAGAAGCCGCGGCGATAGGTGATGCGAATTATGATCCAGCAGGCTCATTGCAAATCATTACTCAGACTGCGCGAGACTCAACGACATATCAAAGCGATATACAGCCATACATCACGCAATTCACAGAGCAGTTTAGCCAGGCCTTTGGAAAGCAATGGGGGCAGACTGTCATGTCCAATGATTCCCTGAGCCGCGAGAACCTGGCAAGAGCGCCTGCTGTTGTCAATCCCGGAGTCGCGCCGTTGATGATCGACATACGACCTTTTACACCGGCTACTGCAACGCCTGCAGTCAGCATTGGACTCATCTATCTAATTATCATGGCCTTCTTCTCATTCTCTTTCTTTTTACCGATCCACATGGTATGTGCATGTTTGGTTTTAAACACTATTGAGGTGATTGGCTAACAGTTCACCTAGAAATACATCCAGCCTCAGGGACACCCGCCTCTCAAGTTCTGGCAACTTATTGTATGGCGATGGATTGCTACAGTCTTCGCCTACTTCTTGATTTCTCTGGCTTATAGCCTCATCTCCCTGGCATTCCAGCTCCCCTTCGGAGCTCCTCCTTATTCCCCAACAGAGCCTCCGCCGCAAACAGGCGCGACCGCCTACGGGAGCGGCACATTTCCGGTATATTGGATGCTCAACTTCGCGGGCATGACGGCGCTTGGTCTTGCGTGCGAAAACGTCGCCATGATCGTAGGACAACCATGGACTGCTCTATGGCTCATCTTTTGGGTTATCACCAACGTGTCAACGTCCTTCTATGCCCTCGATCTGTCTCCTGGATTCTACAGCTGGGGCTACGCTTGGCCACTACACCACGTCGTCGAGGCCAGTCGTCAGTTGATGTTCGATTTGCACTCGAGGATCGGTCTCAACTTTGGTGTTCTGTTTGCATGGGCTGCGGTGAACACGGTCTTCTTCCCTTTCTGCTGCTATTTCATGCGCTGGAAAACAGAACACGATAAGCGCAAGGCGGAGAGAGACAAGGATCGTTATGTTGTTGAAACTGCAGAAGGAACTGAACAAGAGGTGAGGAAACCAGAAGGTTCGAATCCACCGATTCGCAAGCGAGGATTTATGAGAGGGCTATGAGTGAAGATCTTCTGCGAAAGGAGGGGGAATTATTGGTCAGCTTTCATAGAATTGTCAATACTCATAGAATAGACGAGCGTAATTCCTTAGTCCTCAATAATATTGAATTACGAAATGCCAACCGAATTGTTTTTTCCACATCATTAATATTAGCTGATTGACTGAGACCGCATCTACGACCCGTCTAGTTGTTGTTTGTCTTCAATCGTGTACCCCTAGTCGTGATTGGTTACCCACCAAGTGTTGACACCAAGTCGCACCATGTTTGTCATGAATAATGTCCCTGTAAAGCTGTGGGCACGTTATTGAACAGAATAAGGGAACTTGGCATTAAGTTTCCATACGTATGATGTCACAAACCATCCCCACGTAACGTAAATGTGGGCATTGAAAAGTTTTGAGCGGGCCTCTCGATAAGATGATAAACAGCGAAACCAGGACCTCAAAATACCTTCAGTCTCACCGAAAGTCGTCACCCAACTTCCCGAAGCCTTCACCGAAAAGTTCGCCACCGGTTTCCCGAATAAGAAAACATGCCCGCCGACTTCGACAAGCAAAGCTACTGGGGCGAACGCTTCGCATCCGAGGTCACCTTCGAGTGGCTGACCCAATCTGCGACCTTCATGTCGATCGTGGATCCTTACCTCGCCAAACTCGACGACGCGGCGCCCATCCTGCAGCTAGGCTTCGGTACGAGCGACCTGCAGAACCATTTCCGGCAACGCGGGTTTCAGAATGTGACCAACGTCGACTTTGAGCCACGTGCCATCGACCGCGGCCGCATGTTGGAGAAGCAAGTATTTGGTGACGTGAAGATGCGGTATCTCGTCGCGGACGTCACGCAGCTCCAGCTGCATGACAAGTACGATTTAATCGTCGATAAGAGCACGGTCGATGCGGTGTCCTGCGGTGGTATTGAGCCGTTTTTGCGCATGGCGGAGGGTGTGAGACGGCACCTGACGGATGACGGGTTCTGGATCTCATTGAGCTACTCGTTCTGCCGATTTAACGTGGCGGGATTGCCTTTCGACGTTGAGGTGATTGCAAAGATTCCGACGCCGAAACTGAAGCCGCATGATCCGGATGTCTTTCATTACTGCTATCTGTTGAGGCCAAAGGACTTCCGCTGATGCATCGCGTTATCTCATGGCCGGCCACGATGGGAGAGTGCTTCATGTTTGCCTTCGAATACCCTGCGCAGAGCGCTTGATTTGCGATCGTCTCCATCGACATTTTCGACATGTTTACAAACAGGCAATGCATACTGGGAAGTGTATCGTCTACTTTATTTGTCATCAACATCATCAAATCTATGTCTATCGTCTACACCTCGATTCGCCGTCTATGCCAGCGGAGTTCCCGGCTTGAAAGAAGGATGAAAGGGGTAATCAGTGTATCCCTGAGGGATCGAGGGGGTGTAAAAGGTCTCCCGGTCGTACTTGTTCAGCGGCAAGCCGTGCTTGATACGGAAAGGCAGATCGGGGTTCGCCAAAAAGTGGCGGCCAAAGACAACGGCAACGTCCCACTTCGCATACTCCTCGTCCACGGCGCGCATCGCCAATTCCGGGGTGAAGCCTCCGGCGACGAGGACAGGCGAGGTGTTGTCCCAGATCTCCAAGAGAAACTCGATGCCCTCGACCTTTTCCACATCCTGCCAGTTGTTGACTCGGGATTCGATAACATGCAGGTAAGCCAGCTTCAGCTCCTTCAACTTCTGCGCAAGGTAGGAGAACTGCGGGACGGGGTCCTTCATTCTCATCGCCTGGAAGTTGCTCCATGGGCTGATGCGGAAGCCGACCTTATCGGCGCCGATGGCCTCAGCCAGTGCCGCGGCAACATCGACGGGGAATCTGGCTCGGTTCTCGACGCTTCCGCCCCACTGATCCGTGCGCTTGTTGCAGTTATCCTGGAGAAACTGGTCGACCAAGTAGCCGTTGGCGCCGTGGACCTCGATACCGTCGAATCCGGCAGCGATGGCGTTCTTGCCAGCCTGGGCAAAGTCCTTGACCGCTTGCGCAATCTCCTCGGCGGTCATCTCGCGCGGAACGGGCGAGTCATCGCTAATCGGCACGGCACTGGAGCTCAGCAGCGGGTGTCCGCCCTCCTTCTCTAAGACGGGCACGACGGCGGCGCGACCAGGCGCGATAAGCTGGCAGTAGATGCTGCTGCCCTTCTCGTGGACAGCGTCGGTGATCTTCTTCCAGCCGGCGATCTGGCGCTCCGTCCAGATGCCCGGGGCATTGGGAAAGCCGCCGTGGGCCTCGGAAATAAGGACGGCTTCAGCAATGATGAGAGTGCCCGGCACGGCGGCGCGCTGCACGTAGTACTCGAGTGCGATGTCGAGGGGGATGTGATCGGCGTCGAAGCGGAATCTAGTGAGGGGGGCCATCACCACGCGGTGAGAGAGCTGGGCCTGGCCGACCTTGAGAGGCTGGAAAAGTTTGGACGACATGGTGATAGCCGTGGAGGATTCGACCTGGATTACAGATGAGGCAGCAACGAGATGAGACGAGGTAGTTTGGCCGTTATCGTCTGACAGCTTCAAGAGGGAGATCTGCTAGATAAATAGGCACCGGCATTTCTCACTGCTGCCCCTCGGTGGGTTCACTCGGTATGGAGAACAGGTGGTGTTTGGATGGTAACACGCGAAGACCCTTGGCGTAAGGCCCTGGGACCAGGGGTTGAGAATCGACAAGTCGGGGCCGTCGACAAATTGCGTTAAAGGCGTTGGAGTCTTGAAACGGTCGCTGTCCAATGACATTTTGACCTCGGACTCCAAGCCTCCAGTGATTGGGGTCACAGTCCATTGGAGACAGCTGGGCACACTGAAGAATTGCTTAGAAATCCTACGTTGCTCAGCATCCATATTTCCCGTCTTGGTCCACTTGGGCAACCTGATCGTGCGGACCTGGGGGCAGTTGCACGTTGCGGAAATCATTCCAGAAGTTCTTGCCAATCACTGAAGTCACATGTCGATTGGTCTTAAAATTGAAGGTGAGCATTGGTAGGGCGTAAGATTGGCTTGTGCCACCTCGTCTAATCCATTCTAAGTGTTGCAAATCTCAAAACCCATCTCCGTACCAGTACATGTTCAGAACCTGCCAATCTAGTAATGCTGATGATCCCACACGATGAGCGCTCTTCTCAAATACTCCTCAAACTACCACGCTTGCTTCATAAAATGAAAACCCGACATAATGTAAAGATGGCCTCCAGATGCAAATCGCTCCAATTCAAGAAACAGTAACGACGATAAAAAAACGTAGGGTAACAAGATAGAAATGTTGACTCCTCATTGGACCACTTCCTCAATAAAATCCAATACGTAGTCGGCAACTTGCTCCCACCCGGGCTGAAATATCATCCCATGCGTGCGACCGGGGAACATCTTGAATTCCACAAGCGAAGGCCCGGTGTACGCTTTGAAGTTTTTCATCACCGTACTCGGAGGTACGATGTGATCTTTTGAGGCTGAGAGTAATAACAATGGGGCCCGGTCAACTCTGTCAAAGTCAACGTACGTCGGAGCAGACAGCCCACCTGCAACGTTGGTGGTCAGCTGCCAGAGGACCTTTGCGACACCCGGAATGCAGTAGCGCTCGTAGTATTCTTTGCTCTTGTCAGATGTGGTGTTGTTGACAAAGGCCCAGTGGAAGTGGTCTTCGGAAATGGATACGGTGGTGTGCGCGTTGAATGGGTTCTTGATGATTGGAAGTGCGGCCTTGAAAGTGGTTTGCGGGAGAGTGATAATTCCTGCTGGTTGTGCCGGGCATATTGCGACACCAGCGACGCCGAGCCCTCTGGATAACAGTATTTGCGCAAACAGGCCACCGAAAGAATGGCCGATAATGATAGGTGGTGCTAGCAGTTTGTGGATGAAGGCCTCGTAGTATCCGACGATTTCCGCGATGTGCCTGTTGGCCAATAGCTGTGGATCGGCCCGGACCTCTTCGGGGGTGCGGCCGTTGATTCCCGGCCACTCGGGGGCGTGTACCTCATACCCCAAATCTTCGAAAAACGGCACCCAATGTTCCCAATATGCGGCGGTAACCCACAGGCCGTGGATGAATAAGATCGGCGGTTTTGGAGAGTCCATGAGTTTTTACTGAAGAAAACACAATTGTTTTCCCTTTTCGAATGAGAATTCAGACCCTGATGGCCAAGATCGTAAGACCCTTGAAGCCCCGTGTATTTGAAGCTCTGGCTTCGGTGCTCGGTGACCACGCCAGCCCGTAGTCAATGGCGTCACACTGACCTCATCACTTTGCGGCTTAGCCTGTGCTTCGTAGGCCATCGACGACGCCCTCGATTCCGATCTATCGATCTCGCCCGGCGAAAGGTCTCTATTCACCACGTAACTGCGAGATGGATTTCTTTGTTCGATCGCGCATACCATGTTATTTTTTGGGCGTATTGTCTTTGGGTATGCCGGAGTAAACGGGTCGAGGACATTCTCGTCACTGTGGCTTATTGGTTACCACGCGTGAGGATGCATGTCATCTCAAGTACTCTTGACAACTGAAGTTTGCTCTTTTGGTTTCATGCACGCTGTAGTTCTAGAATAGGCAATACCAGGTCCCACGGGGATCCGAGACATTCGGACAGATTATGGCTCTCATCACCTCATGTGATGTGTGTGCCTAATACCCCCTAAATTCCCGGGGCGATGTCAGTCCTATCGGGTACCCGGGCACCCGGGTACCGATGATCGATGCGCTATCGGCAGCACGGATCATCGACGTTGCTGGCCATTCTCACTGTGTCAGTGGCACCCTCCTGTCATCTCCTTCCTTGCCCATGCAGTCCAGATAGTGAAGTCGGTGACACACTTATTGGAACAGTATCATTACATATTCGTCTTAGCCTAAGTTCTTGCGTTCGTCCGATTAAAAAGAACACTTTCACGGAACGACGTTCATTGAACTGTAATTTTCGTTTAGACTGAGCTCGATCTCGTTGAGTGCCGCACGCACTAACCAAAATCCGTGTCAGCCATGTACTAGTCAAACATTGGCATAGCCGCTCTCCATTTGCCTGAGATCATTAATCATCTTTGTTGACTACTTGAACTATGTCATCTTGCTTTAAGCATGAATCCCCCTAAGAGACCGGGTTCTCTTCACAACTTGATAACAAGCATTCAGAAAGGCGGAGATTAGTTGAGGGCAAATCTGACAAATTTTGAAGGCCCTATGGGCTTGACTAGACTCACTTGCATCGCAATTATTAATGTTCTAAAACGCCCTTAACAGCTTGATTTGAAATCAGAGATCAGAATGGAGTACGTGCTCCAACAGAAATAGTGCTGTTGGGGTAGATAAAAGTATGAGCCTGAAGCCGAAAGTATATGCCTTACCAAGAGTATTTGCCTAGACTTGAGAGTATGTGCCTGAACTTGAATTCTCTCGCGACCCACATCCCGTGAACTTGGCTTGAGCCAGGAAATTCCCACTAAACGATGCATCAGAGTTCAGTCATAGGCTACCTCTATTGAACGAATCTCTTACCCTCCAACTCAAGCGTGGTCGTGCGTTATGGACACAAAACGGATCATTGCCAGGTGGTTGCAATATGTATTATTATTGCCTAAGATACTAGCTACTAACGCGAAGTCTTAGTATTAACACCACCTACTTTCTCTCCACCTCCAGTGAGGCGAGCACAAAGGCAGACTCGCCCAGCAAGCTGTTAGGCGACAGCGGCTGGTTTGTGTAGTACTCGTAGGTAGCAGTAGAGTTGAGACTGCACACCGCCACCGTCTTGTCGAAGCCAATGGTTCCGTTTCCTGGGTCGGTCACGAAGTGGTTGACAGTGTAGTTGTACGCGCGAAGGGCGGCCTTCTCAAACCGGGCGGGAGACTCTGAGTAAATGCCCAATCTAGCGCCCTTAAGCATGGAGAACATGAAGAGCGCCGTGCTAGAGCTCTCGAGGTAGTTGCCGCTGCGTCCCGGGAACGTAGTGAGCTGCCACCATACACCGGTCTGGCGGTCGGCGTACTTGAGCAAGGCGGTTGAGAGCTGTGTCGTAACATCGCTGAGCTGTTTGCAAAGTGCCTTGGCTTCTTCTTTGCCAGCCGGGCAATCGAGGGTCTCCCAAGTCTGGACCAAGCCAGCGACGAACCAGCCCACGGATCGGCCCCAGATATACGGGCTCGAGCCGGTCTCCTCATTCGCCCAGACTGCAGTGCGCGCATAGTCGTATCCATGAGCGACCAGCGAGGTATTCTTCTGGAAAGTGTGCTCGTAGAGCAGAGACACCTGCAGGCTGATGTCGGTGTAGTTGGGGTGGGGCTGCGCCGCCATGAAGGGCAGAACAGAGAAGATGCCGTCGAGGTAGCTCCATTGGGGATAGACGTAGTACCAGAATCCGCCGACGGGGTTGCGGATCTGAAGGGGAAGCGAGCTATTCAATGCATCGAAGGCTGAGGCTGCGGTGGCTGAAATGGTGACAATACCGGCAGTGGAGGCATGGTTGATGGCGGTTGCGACGGAGAAACGGTCGAGGGGTCGTGTCGAGTCATAGGTCGCATTGGTGAGAGCCGGCGAAGCAACATTAAGTACGTCCTCGAGGTAAGGCGCATATCTGCTCTGCAAATCGGGGTACTGCTTGATTGTTGCCTCCATCGCAATGGCCAGAATGCCGCTTTCCAGGGTGCTGCTTGAAGCCCCGGATGACTCAATTGCTTGGTTCCGGGTCTTGATGCTGTCCAGCATCCATGTCGAGTATCGACGGGTCTCGCACGATGCGAGAGTCGCCAGGCCGCAGAGGGCGGCAAGCAAAACCGAAGGACGACGCATTGTACGATCGGATGCCCTGCGTGAGTGAAAAGAGAGGGAAGGTGGTCGTGTAGAACCAAAGGTCCGGTGTCGCTGATTTCCACGGTATTTTATATCAAGGCAGCCGGGCCAGGGCGTGTCATTGCCGAAGGGTTCCTACTGCTTACGCGGGGCAGTTCATCAAGTTGCCCCAGTCAGCGCCAATCATTTCCTCGCTCGAGGCTGTTTAGTGCACCGGTTGCACCGGAGACTTCAGTCTTCAAATGACGGGATGCGTGGTTGGGGCAGGGGTTCCCTGTGCATGCACCTGTTCCTTGAGAGTTGTGCGGTCTCAATCCCTGTTCGCGATGGTGTTCAGTCACGTATTTTGACGGATATCCGTTTCTAAAATCCGTCGAACACAAAATGAGAGTTGGTAGACATGACTAGCGGTGGTTTATTCATTAGTACAGAAGTCAGCGTGAACACTGGCCGGCTCGTCTGAAGGCCTTGTTGAAAAAAACAAAAAGGCACATTGGAAAGCTTCGGGCGATAGCTGGCACTCACACCCCATCAAAGTTTTCAAAAGGTTGACATCAACAGCGCAAACAATTTTCCTGGCTTCTCAGCGCCGCCCACAACGAGAGAAACACAGCGAGCAAAATCTTCCCCGCATGGATCAGAAGCAAGGCCTTCCCGGTTTCTCGACGAACAGTCCCTGATACCCGGCGGTCAGACCCCAAATCCGCGGAAGATCCACTAGTCGGTTGATCACTACAGCGAGCCCAGCGAAGCCAAGAATCCGGGAAAGCAATTATCCCCATGTTTTCCCCAGCTAAACTCTGTTTCTCCAGGCTGCTAAGAGTGCGGGGTGTTTATTGAGTTGAGGATTGAGTCGTTTTATGGTGTCAAGGCTATGTTTTCCGCGGACTTGGCACCCGGTGAAAAACTGGAGGCCGCGACGGATTACTCCCACAAGCCGAGGGTAAGTATGCCCTTGCACTTGAAGATGAACATGAAGTTGTGATGGTCACTAGCTCACCAAATGGAAGACGTAAAGAGTATTAGACTAAATATGATGGGGATCGGTATGCACAGGATGCATGTGAAAAACACACTGGGCTAGAAATCAAAGAACCTATTGAAGAAAAGAAACAACGACAAAGACAAACCTCGCGGACCCGCTGTCGGCGTCCGTTCCAACTGACACAGTCAGAGGTTCGAGAGGACAGCCCGAATCATTCAACCCAGCATCGGTCAAGTTCACAGACAGGCTGTTTGCTTGGAATTTATAACTATAGGTCTGATTGATACATGTAGTATTTTCACAAGCAATCAATATCCAATTCGATTTCCTTACGCCGACGGACCCTGACTCTAGCGGTAGGATTGCTTGCATTAGTGAACCCCAAAACCATTGGCGATGCATAGGTAGTAGGCAAGGCCTCCCAATCATACTTTAGCAACAGATGACACATGATAATCTTGATCTCGTAAGCCGCAAAGAACCGTCCGGGGCAGGCGTGATCCCCGTGTCCGAACGCAAGGTGGTCGGGGCTCGTCACAACCAGTTGGGCATAGTTGGCTTTGCCAGGCTGCTCGGCCATCTTGATGAACCTGTAAGGGTCCCACTTCTCAGGGTCTTGGTGCAGCTCCGGATCTCCCATGCGGTATGTGTCGCTCGCAATCCTATCTCCTACTCTGAGGTTTAGTCCGTTCGACAACGTGAGAGGTTTCTCAACTCGTCTTCGTAATGATGCTGTACCTGTGTTAGTCCCACCCGCTACCAGGTCATACTCTATGTTCGAGGGTTCACTGACCAACTCCAGGCGGCTTGTGACGTTGAGCTTCTTTCAAAGCGCTGTCCAAAAGCTTCATGTTGTGAAGAGATGACTTCTTCAAGCCCTCGGAACGTAAAATGTGAATGACTTCCTCTCTAAGGGGAGCAACATACTCCGGGTGCAGAGCCAACTGTAGTACTATCTCTGTGACCAGATCAGCCGTCGTATGAATTGCGGCAACTGCTAGCATCAACTTGATTGAAGTTGTCAGCCAAAGTTCAGCAACTAAGAAAGCTCGCGTCGATCAAGAAGCTTACCTGCATGATGGCGGGATCGTAAGTCACACCCCTCGTAGCGGCCTCCTGGTCTGCCCAATCGATCGCATCGTAGAACTCCGGAATCTTCTTGCCGGATGCCAGAGCGGCTGCTCGTGCCGCACGACGCTTCTCAATGTAGGGCATAATGATGCGGCGTGACTCGTCGAAGCTCGCGCGTAATTCTCGACACTTCGGCACGAACCAATGGAGAATCCGGCGTAGAGGGCGTGGAATCATACGGAGATGTGTTCCGGCGACGAAAAAGTTCACTGTGTACTCTTTCGTCGCTCGCAGCCAGTCCTCATTTCGACACAGTTCCTCGCCTAAGAACACGCGCGCTGAAAGTCGAGCGACCGTGTCAAGAACGATGGACTTTACTTCAATCTCTCGCCATTCTGTTAAACATGAGTCGGCAGCTTGAAATTGTCGTCGATAGGGGTTGACGTGCCTTCAGAGTCTCCAAGCTTGTCTGATAGAGCTTGCGCAGCTTCAGCTGAGACTGGCTCAATCACCTGAGCTATTTATAATCAGCGACCAGACACGTTTATACTAACATGATGTAGTCGGAAAACTTACCGATGCACTTAGTGAGCTGCTTCCGCACCAAGGTTTGTAGAACCGCATCATCGTAACTGTCTACCGCAGCGCCCTGAAATCCGGGTAAATGTCCGTGAAAGTCCTAAGACACAACGGTCAACATCGAGTCCGCTCCCGTTCTATAGCCGTAGCATACTTCACCAAAGGCTGACCCGAAGCTCAGTCTCGGATCGTTACGGATTTCATCGGTCTGTTCAACGGGCAAGAATACGATCTCGCCGAGGTCGGTGATCATGCGGTAAGGGCTTTTCGGAAATAGCTTGCGTCCCTTAGCCAGGAGACTTTTGCTATTGAATACGAAATCGCGCTGGAAATGAAATGCGAGATCAGCTTTTCAGTTGTCAACAGGCCTGTCGACATGAGAAGGCTTACTTTGGATTCAATGTTAAACAAGGAGAAGCCTTTGCTGGGGTTCAAAAGCGGTAGATGTTTGAGATTTTCCCGTCGCGATGAGAAAGAAAAATACAGAAAGACTACTGCCAGTAGTGCAAGAGCAGCGGATGGTGCAGGCGGTATGAAATGAACTCGATCCCACATGTTTGGCAACGAGGAAAGGTATGAGAACGACATGATCTCGGAGGATCCTCTCTTGGGGACTCAAGGACAAAACATTGAGAGAGCTTTGTAGAGTGTTGGAAGATCGGCTCAACTACCACGATCAACACCGAAATTTAAGTTCTCTGCTGTGCGGTTGTTATGCCATGTTTCCCACTGTGTTTAATGCCATGATCATAAGACCAACGTCCAGCCTATTGGTACTGCTCGGTATCAGAATCACAGCCGCCCCGATGGCACCCATCGCTCAACATCCGACGAACAACGTGCACAGATGTCCACTCCGTCGAGTTTCTGTCAACCCTTGACGTTGCAACGGCTCTCTTTCTGGTGACTACTTCGCCCGGCACTTTCCACGGAACGGCCCATTGGTGGGTCAAAGTGAGGCGTTGCACAGGGCTTAGAGCGGTTGACCCACGAATGGGCTCCCGAAAATTTCCAATCAGTCAACTTCTGGTCCGATCGAATCTACAAGATGGAACCGACTGGAGCTCACTGAGTCGCGCAACCCATGATCCCTTCATCCACCAACAACTAAGCGAATGAAGCCTCGACCAAGGAGTGAATAACCTCGATGTTGACCTGCAGCCTGGCACTCAATCGCGATTCTGGTACGATGGTGACTGGGAACGACTTAAAACATTCAGCAACATGAATCGCGCTGTTACTCGTTACTATGAGATGGCGCCACGCTTCAGCGAGATCCCAATTCCCAACGCAATGGATCAGTAGATTTCGGTCTATGCTCGCCTAAGGCATTTGTGGAGGCAATCCACCGATGCAACTTTATTCGGTGAATTTGAGGAGTTCAGCAAACGAGCTAGGCGCTCTACCATGGCTAAAGAATGTACGAGCTGGTCGCAAAATGGATATCGATCCTTACCGTAGTCCACCACAAGATTTCCTCTCTGTCAGTTCCATGGGTTCACAGATCGAGTGCAACTTTGTAGCATCGCCTGCGTTCGTGTCACGCTTGGCGTGGGCTGACATCTTCCAGGCATCGTGAAAGATCCATAGTTGATGCGTAGACCAAAGTCTAGAATATAGACATAATGGAGAATTTAGAGCTTCAACAGACGATTCCATGACTCGGCTTCATCGCAGCGCTTCTCGGAGCCTGCCGCGCGATGAGTGAGGATATTCGAGCCAGATTCAACCGGCATCGATCGTGAGGTAGTGACGAACGGAGGCGTGATGATTCAATGTTAAATAGACACCAAAGTCGCCTTGACGAATGCAGTCTCTTTGCAAACTATCTTGCTTCATCTAATTCAGTAATACGTTTCACACAAACGGACGCTCAACCGTCAAAATCCCCGACCTTTTTTTCTGGACTCTTCATCATCACGAGTCACAACTGCCGGCATAATGGGAGAATACATCCATTCGTCTTCAGAGCCCTTCCTCGTCGCTGTATGTGGCCTTGGACTTCGTGCTCCAGGTGGCATCCGGAATGCCACGGACTACTGGGACCTCCTTGTAAACGGCAGGGACGCAAGAGGACCGATTCCCGACACCCGCTACAACATTGACGGCTTCAACGACGCCCTCGGCGGGAAGAACACTATCAAGACCAGGTTCGGATACTTCCTCGCCGATGACCTCACACGCATCGACACATCGCTTTTCTCAATGTCTCGCAAAGAGGTTGAGCGATGTGACCCCCAGCAACGACTACTCCTCGAGGTTGCCAGAGAGGCTCTCGAAGATGCCGGTCAAACCAATTACCGCGGGGAGCGCATCGGCTGCTACGTTGGCACTTTTGGTGACGACTGGGCGCAGATTGCTGGAAAAGAGAATCAGCATCAAGGAGGACTCGGCTACGTTGCCACTGGAAATGGCGACCTCATGCTCTCGAACCGTGTTTCGTACGAGTATGATCTCAGGGGTCCTAGGTAAGTCGAACTGCGGCATGTCCCACCTACGACTCGCTGACAACTGTAGCATGACCATCAAGACTGGCTGTTCCGCGTCCCTCGCTGCCATCCATGAAGCATTTCGGTCCATTCAAGATGGCGACGCAACCGGCGCCATTGTTGGGGGAACCAGCTTAATCATGACCCCAACCACCACCGCTGCCTTTACTTCTGAAGGCATACTGTCCCCTGATGGTTCATGCAAGTCATTCGATGCAAAAGCTGACGGATTCGCTCGCGCGGAAGCAATCAATGCTATTTACATCAAGCCTCTTTCTGCTGCCATTCGTGACGGCAACGCGATCCGAGCTGTGATCAGAGCCACAGGCGCCAACAACGACGGCCATAGCCAGGGACTCTTCACGCCCAACCAGATTGCCCAAGAAGCCCTTATGCGCAAGGTCTACCGGGATGCCGGCTTGGACCCATCTCAGACCGCATATGTTGAGGTACAATCGCCTACCTCGCGCACTCACCGAAAATCGTTGCTGACCCCAGATGTAGTGCCACGGAACCGGAACCGCGACCGGTGATCCCATCGAGACTTCGGCGGTAGGCGAGGTCTTCGGTGAAAAGGGCGTGTACATCGGTTCCGTCAAGCCAAATGTCGGCCATTCTGAAGGTGCTTCGGGATTAAACAGCTTGATCAAGGCGGTCCTTGCCCTGGAGCACAAGACTATTCCACCAAACATCAAGTTCAACGAACCCAATCCCAAGAGTATGTATTTTGACACTTTCGCAACTTCTCAAATCTGGAACTAATTTCCCTTTCAGTTCCATTCGCCGACAAGAAACTTACCGTTCCTACTCTGCCAACGCCCTGGCCAGCTGACCGAGCTGAGCGCATCAGCATCAACTCTTTTGGTATTGGTGGCACGAACGCTCATGTAAAATGATGTCTTTCCAAATCGCTTTCCACGAAGCTGACCACTTGCAGGTCATCCTTGAGTCCTACGGCAAATCCAAGCCCATCGTAAACGGACATGGCACATCACACCCCGAGTTACTGCTTATGTCCGCGAACACAGCTGCGTCACTCAAGGAGCAAGTAGATCGATACCAGGAGTTTGTCGCTTTACATCCGGAGGTTAACAAGCGCGACATCGCATACACTCTTGCTACAAAGCGAGAGGCTCTGCCTCATAGAGCCTTCACCATCGTCCATGACGACAATATTATCGAAACATCAGCTCCTGTGAAGGCACCCAGCAAGGCCCCTGACGTCTACTTCATCTTCAGTGGACAAGGCGCGCAGTGGCCCGAGATGGCGAAGCAGCTCGTCACGACCGATCCTCTGTTTGAAGCTGATCTCAAGCGAATGGACTGTGTTCTCAAGAGCCTTGCCCATCGGCCGAGATGGTCCATCATCGGTAAGTAGTAATCGCCCTTAATTGCCTGAGGAGAAGTGGCTCACCATCCTTCTAGATGAACTTCTTGAACCTGCCACCACAAGCCGAATCGGCACGGCGGAGCTGTCTCAACCTCTTTGCACCGCAATTCAACTTGCGCTTGTCAATAGGCTTCGGGCAGCGGGTGTCAAGCCCACAGCAGTCGTCGGTCATTCTAGCGGTGAGATCGCAGCTGCGTATGCTGCAGGCGTCATTACCCTGGAAGCAGCCATCATTTGCGCATACTACCGTGGTTATATCACCAAGCAACAGACTCTTGCTGGTTCCATGGCTGCGATTGGGTTGGGTCCTAAGGATGTTTCCAAATTCCTCGTCCATGGCGTTGTCGTGGCATGCGAGAACAGTGCCCAAAGCAGCACCATCTCCGGTGACAAGGAGAAGGTCACGGAGGTCATCGCACGAATCAAGGCTGAAATGCCTGACGTGCTGGCTCGTCCCTTGAAGGTCGACATGGCATATCACTCTCGTAAGTCTTTAATACCGCTCACAGCACTCGATACTGACAGTTTTTAGATCACATGGCTGCCCTTGGAAAGACCTATACCGCACTTCTGGAGGCCGAACTACAGAAGATTGGAGCATGGTCCAGCAGTGCCACGTCGTTATTTTTCTCAAGCGTCACTGGCGAGGTACTGGATAAGAGCTTCTCTTTTGGTCCTGACTATTG